TGAAAAAGCTCTTGTTTTCCTATATTTTATTTGTATTTAATTTTCTGTGATACCGACTGTAGTGAGTGGATTATCCCACAGTTGGCAATATCAATAAAGATTTGTTTGTTTGTTTTAAAGATAAGCACAAAGCAACACAAACCTTTTTTCTCCCTGGTCCAAAACATAGAACAAATCCTGACGCAAATGATGAAATGGGCTATCTGTGCCCTGCCCGCCACGTGTATCGAAACGCGGTTCCTAGCATTGTCTGCAGACATACCACTGTGACACTGGAGGGCATAGAACACTTGCTAGTGTTATGGCCATCTAGGACTGTTAATGTATTTTACTATTGAATATGGTACTTAACCTGTGTTGATCCGATTATGTACTGATACATTGTAGTGGATACTACAAACATTTATTCTTGCTGAAAGAATTTTATCTGAAAAGTCTTAGTTTGGTTGAATTCTGCCTACAATTATATATTATGTAATACTGAGAAGTTTGACTTTATTTGGGGGTATGATATCAGAAGCATGATTATTGAGGTTTAGCTCTCAGGAGTAACCAGTGAAATTACTGAGCTATGTCCTGAGAGAGCTTGTTGAATATTATAAGTCCTGTATCAAGTGCACCTGTAGTTATGTTAAGTACCTATAATGATTGTCTTATAAATGTATTTATTATTGATTTTACCATTTTTGTTGATTTTTATGTGTACAATTTACCATTTCAGGGTTTTCTTTTTTAGCATACCTGAAAGACATCTGTAATTATGCAAATTTCTGTTTTATATTTAAACTTATAATGTATTATTATTTTGTATTCTTTTTTTGTTAAATGGCTTTCATATTATCAACTTTCATGTTACACAGAGATCGTGTAAATTATATCAAAATGATTTTGGAGCCTCGCCACGTCTGGTAATGTTGTATCTGGACATTAGCCCTCCAGTGTAGTTCCCACTGCAAGAGGTTCTGTTGTGAGACTGTCATGTCCAAAGCATACCAATCCTTCCTACAGGTTTTTTCATAATCCATGTAGTGTATGAGGATGATGGCATCCAAGTGGCCGTTCAAACAGACTGATTGCACATATATCTCCAAGTGCTACATTCAACAGTACTCATTTCATTCTCCAGCTGCTAGAGGTATGGCATAGTTTAAAGTGGGGATCCTTCTTGATTATGTTGCTTTGGTCATGTGGACAGCTTTTGCTACTGACTTTTGTGTTTGTGGATTCTCGCCTGGTTTGTCAAGTTGATCCATATTCCTTTGTTTTCAAATACCATTAAGTACAAGAGATATCCCCCATCTTGGAAATACTAAATCCTCAATATGAACAATCTTTATGATCTGAGTACATGAATATTTTCCACCAGAAAGAGCTGTTACATATCTTTCCTAAAAGTGTTTCATACTAACTATGAAACACCAAGCATAGTTCTAATACATTCTGTTCCATCAAGACTTTATCGATTTGCATATTCGAAATAGTTTTAATATAATATATTCAACCAACAGTAAAACAATCACCATTTTGCATATTATAATTATAATTATCTTTGTAGAGGGTATTTCTATAATCTACATAGCTTTGCAATTTTGTGTGATTGTCACTATTATTATGTGTACATCATATTATTGAGATGTTTATAGTTTTATCCTATATTTTTCCATTAAACATTTGTTGAAAATGTGTGTATTATAAACATTTCTTTTATGTGATGACTTCCACAATGATAAATATACACGACTGTTTAATTTTAAATTCAATACGAGAGTTATGATTTAGGTAGTTATAAAGCGTGGGTGTTACATTTAATATTTTTAAAAGCGGTAATTTATCGAAGGTTTGTGTACTTAACTGTTTACGAATCATTTGTTGAATATTTCAGTTGTTGTGAATTGACTCCATGTTACTCGAACCTTCTGAAAAGTATATGAAAAAGTGATTTAATAGGATGTGTTGTAAACTCACAGTGGACTGTAGTTTTAAGCAGCACCAAAACCAGATCAGATCGGTTCAATGCTGTGCATACATACAAGGGACAAAAGCTTCTATACTCGATATTAAGAGATGTCTGTGTGGGAGAACCATGTTAATCCTTTATACTATCTGTAGTTCATTATTTAAACACATTTCGTTATGTACAGGCTCCTGCTCTTTTAGTCGTTGATTATTAATCCTGTATCAATTGAAATAAAAGTGCAGACTAAACAGTGGTAGGATCTATTTTTAAGCAACTGCATGCCAGCCCATTTGAGTTTTCATCACATGTAACTGTACAAAAGTTAAGCCGTCTTCCCGGTTTCTGTCTGATTTCAACATTTTTTTTGCTTCACGTAGCCTATTCACCACACTAGATTTTAATGTTAAGGTTCTGTGAATGCTTGCTTTTAGAAACAAGTTTAAAGAAGTGTTGTAATCATGATGTTTAAAAGCAAATGTCTTTATATTAGTTTTTCAATAAAAAGAACTGTTCAAATTATGCTATCAAACATCTATTGAACTTAAACTGATCTTAGTAAAGAAATAACATACAAAATGTCTTGCAATTTCTCAAAATCATTTTATTGAATGATGAAGGTTTTATTTGTTTGAAATTTTGAAACACTTTTATAACTAAAGTATTTTGACCTTTATTTACCAATAAAATAATCTTAAAATTTATAAACTTTTAAAGCAATGAAGTTCACACCACTACATCTCTTAAAATTAATTTTTATCACAGTTTTTAAACACAACCAGTAAGTTAACTAACAACAACAGAAAGTATATTTGATTAACAATCTTCACTTGCATAACATGACTCTGAATCTCTGGCTATGAAAGGAACATTGATTTTTAAAATTGTTATATTGCTATTAAATAAATTCATTTTGAGTACGCTTTAGGACATATATTATTATTATTACTGACATTTTAATTTTTACAGCTGAAAAATACTATAAACAATATAGATATGTGTACCCTCTGACAGCTATGTAGAAAACAAAAAAGATTTGGTGCTTTTCAAGAACTTCCAGGAACCACTCTATTCTAGCCACAGCATATCTCAAGTTTGAAAAATGTTATACTACATGATGGTTCAAAAACCCTTAATAAGTATGTTACAGAAAAAACCCTAATTCTGTGTAACAAAATGAGTTCTCACAGACAGAATACCACATTTCTTATTCACAAAATTTACATATCAAGTTTCTTTTCACCATCATTACTAAACACACTGTATTTGGCACAGTGATTTTGAGTCTATTTCAACGTATCTCACATCAGTAGAGAATATAACAAAGCTGATAATTTAAAATAATGTTTATACAGATTACATATGGATGAATATATATAAACTACTATTTCTGTCATCACATGTACATGCCATAGTATTCCTTTTTATAGCTTATAACCATACTGCAGTCATCAAGCACTAAAGAGAAGAGTGTCATTGTTATATTGATGCCTCATGTCTTAGTAAAACTTACGTATTATGTATTAATGTCTTTAGCAGGATCTTACTGTCATCCAGAATAGTAAAGTATATTACATATTATAAATTTACAACTTTAGATATTAATTAATATCAATAACATAGAGGTTTCATGGTTATATTAATTTATTTGGGAAACATTTAATTTGTGCCTAAGCTAAAAATTCCATTTAGTATGCTTAAAATCTTGAAATACATATACACACATCTCATCCAATAGTTGAAATATAAGCCTGTATTTCTGTCAATGCTCTCCGACTTAAATACTTAACCAATTTAAATACATGTTTAATTACTTTTACAGCTTTAAATATACATTAAGTATTAACAGAAAATACATAAATACATAACAGATAAAATTATTTAATGTCTGACATTACATTTCAATTTTCATAGATATGCAAATGCTTTAAAAAATGTACATACCTTACTTTCTTAAGAGATCAATATTTGAAGTTGATGACTAAAGCATCATACAACCACCTGAAATATACTGGTCAACTGACTAGATTAACTAGAACCAAATATGTTATTTTAACCAATTAAACAACATAAACATTTATATATATGAAACAAAAAGTATAATAAAATCAAACAACTACAAATAAAATTAAACCAATACACACACAGAACACAGATAAACATTTATATATATGAAACAAAAAGTATAATAAAATCAAACAACTACAAATAAAATTAAACCAATACACACACAGAACACGACAGTATCATTATCCAGTTTATATGTTATTATAATGACACATTCCTTTTGCTACAAACTTCTGTTCATACACAAAACAACAACAATCCCAAGGTAGAGATTAAGTAAAACACATCTAAATAACAACTAAAGTCAAAAACTAAATGGTCAAAACTGACCAAGTAACAATATATATATTAAACTATTTGAACTGTTGGCAGTTAGAAACCACTGTACAACATGCAATGATAGTCTCTAGTAGATTTAGTGAATAACAATGTCTCACTGCTGTAAAATTACAGAATAAAAGGTAGCTGCAACATTTAAAAAACAAAAACTATCTTAGCTATCATGCCATAAAACAGTTTACAAAAGTTTATTTTTCTGTAAAGTGAACAATACTTTATCATTAAGATGGCACAAGAATGTACAACATAACTTGAACACTTACCTACTTTATGCTATCTTACCAGTAATATAATAGCACAATGCAGCTGGTATTCTCATGTGCTCAATAATACTTTATCATTATTGTCATATAACACAATTCAAAGTAGCTGGTACTTTTATGTAATAAATAATACTTTCCCATTACTGAGAAACAACAATGCTAAATGCATCTGGTTATGTAATACATAAATACAGAAGATTATTAATTGAGTGCCTGCTATTGACAATGTTATCTTTACTGTGTTGTTGATTTTTTTTTTAGTTATCTTTGATGAATTTGGTACCATTTAATTTAAATAGTGTACTTTTTAAGATAAAGTAAGTCTTATCTTGTATATTTTATAAGTGTTCTATTTAACCTAAACATTAAAGCTCTTAACTTTTTACTAAATCAATATTCTTGAAAGGTTAGCACACATGATTTTTAATTTTACTCAAGCTGAAAAGCACAGAGATTTAAAACTGAATATAATAAAATTAGAGGTATTCAGGCTATTACTGGTTTGTAGAAAGAAAAGTTGTATTATATGTTGGAAATGAGACAGTTTGAAACAATTTAAAAGACAGCTATCACAAAACACAGTTATGTACTTATAATTTTTATATTAAGTACAAAGATATTAAAAGAAAGACTATTAAAATAAATGATCAAATTTCAAAAGTGTGACTTGTAGCTAAATAGATGAATTATTGAGAGAGAAAAATAAAAAATGTATTGAACTAGAATGTTAGCCTTAAAATGGCTACGTCATTGTTACCCCAAGTGTCCTTCTGGTATGTTCGTAGACAACGTAACTGATACTCACAGCCGGAGCTACTTTCATGAAGTTGGGGGTTAACCCTCGGTAGAGACCCATCACCCCTTCTCGATGAAGAATGCTTCTGAAGAGACCTATCATGCTATTTTCTTTCTTGTTCTCTAAAGCAATGTAGAAAACAGTGTGTAACAATACATATGTACTTTACAATTCAATATTAAGCATCCAATTTCACTCCTTTAAGCTTTATTCAAATATTTCTTTAAAAACAATAACTTAAAACACCAAAGTTTCCAAAAATCTACAGAGTAGAAACATGAATATGCGAGTTTAATTGGTACCCTCATTATAAACATAACTTTAACATTGTATTGTTTGAATATTGTGAATATTCAATGTTTTAGTTTTTGGGTAAAACACAATGAAAAATAAGTACACCAATCAATAGTAAACTTACTGAATACACATAGGAATGGTTAAAATCTAGTTCCAAAGAAGGTCCTTTAGCCTAAAAAAACATAGACCACATACATTTTTTTCCATTAGAGCAATTTCAATCACTTCTTTGTGTTTTTACAATTTATCGTGTTCTGTTGTAAATTATTTGTGTGACATTTTAAAAATAAACTTCCACATACTTTGTTCTTAATGTTCATAAATTTGAGATTAATCAGATAACAGTTGCACATGGATAAAATATAAAATCAACTGTTAATGCAAAGAAAAGTTTTGCTCATATTTTGAGCTTCTTCAGTGCTGACTTTCTAATTAATTTTTGATATTCAAGTCCAAATGGAGATGAGCTTCTGCAAGCTAGTTTGTAGCCTCATAACACTGGTAGCTGCCATTCACATTCAAGAATATTTCATCTGATTACAAGGAATCTTAAAAATATCCCTGGAGCATAGTTTTCATTACAAAAGGTTTCATTATAAGGCTGTCATGTTAAAAGCATACTAATGCTCCCTGCAAGTATTCCAAACTCCATCTAATGTACAAGTAAATCAAAAAACACACTGCAAGTATTCCATACTTTATCTAATGTACAAGAACAGCAAAAGCACACTACTAATATCTGCAAGTATTCCTTACTTTATCTAATGTACAAAAAGATCAAAAGCACACCACTACTACCTGCAAGTATTCCATACTTTATCTAATGTACAAGAACAGCAAAAGCACACTACTAATATCTGCAAGTATTCCTTACTTTATCTAATGTACAAAAAGATCAAAAGCACACCACTACTACCTGCAAGTATTCTATACTCTATCTAGTGTGCAAGGATGAAAGCTTTCCAGCACCCATTTCAACAATCTGATTGTACAAAAATCCATAGTTTGGTGACCTGACCAGTATGTCTTTGTATAAAATAGTATGAGTGTTAACATTTCCTAAACTGAAAATGTATTCCAAATAGATGCTTAACTCCACTCACAAAAAGCTTTCTTTCTCAATTAGTACTGCCCTCTCTCAGCACAAATCTTTTGCTCGCCACTAGCCTTGTAACCTCCACTTCTTTCTACAAATCTACATGCAAATGATCATGCAGCAACCCTCCACCAATAGAAGTGTGACACTACTCCTATTGTAACTAGCACCCTCTCTAATAATGCACCTGTTAATTACTTCGATATTGGACATGATCAAGTCAACCAATCCACCAGAAGTGGGTAGGACAGGTGGGAAAGGTGAGGCAGTAAATATCCATTCAGTAATAATTTTCAGTTTAGGGAAATATTTAATTCTGATAAGATATCTTACCTCTACTTACAACAAGCTAGAATCTCACACTGAATTGGTGATGGGCCAGTGAGAAGATGATCCTCCTTTAGGAAGTGCCCAAAGAAAGACCATGTGTTGTGGAAAAGGAATTAGAAACATCACCACTCCTGAGCTAGGTACACCCTTCACCCTTGAGTAAAGTATCACTAAAACAAAAGGGAGAAAACATGGATGGACCCCAAAACGGATTAATCATTAATGGGACCTCCAGGTGTCGAGTGGCTAGGGCAAGACAGACCTTAAATGTCAGTTTTACCTCAACCAACACCTGGTAGCATCTGGAATTGTACATCAGGTTCATGGTAGGAAGATGGTCCTCTACCTTTCACCTCAAAAACGAATACTGGGAGGGAAGATGAGGTTCTGTACAAGAACCCGTCTCTACATGTGCACATCTCCAACACAATCAACACCAGATAGAGTGGGAACTGACATTCAGTGGATGGTAGGAAGTAAGGAGACCTCAGGAGGTATTCATCTCTGATCCAAAACCTGGAGGCATTGGGAATATTTAATCCAGTCCATGGAAGGAACAGGGAACCCAACATTACACATGCAGGAATTAGTGGATTCAAAAAAATCTTCAACTAACATCAGATCCATTGGGAGCCAACATTCAGCAGATAGGAGGAAGATGAAGAGTGACCTCAATTTGGGGTTGCATCTTCAGTCCAAAACCTAGCAGCATTGTGAGTTCATTCTCCATTCTGCAGTAGGAAGAGAGTACCAGCCAAACACATGTGAGGATTTATGTGGCTAGATTATCTCCAACCATCACCTGATCCAACTGGGAATTGATATACAGAGGATGGTAGGAAGGAGAAATATCTCAGCTGGAAGAGCCAACTGCAATACATAGATATATGATGGAGTGCTACAACCAATACCTGGTGGCATCTGGAATTGTAAATCACAAGAGCATCACAAGCAGTGGGAAGAGTGTCACACTATCAATGCCAACAGAATGTCACTGCCCTACTCCCAACCGAGTGAAAATGTGCTTCACTCAGGATGATTGGCCCCCAAGGTCCACCAACCAAGTGGCTAGGAACTGGTAAGCGGCAAGAACTCCCATACTCCACAAAGGAGAGCAAAATGTGTTGGAGAGTCCAGAGACCCACAGCATTGGAGACAGTGCAATGGGTGACCATATTTTAAAAAGCAGAGCTACCATTTGGATGGAGATGATCAACCAACACCTGGTAGCATCTGGAATTGTACCTCAGATCCGTAGTAGGAAGAGACTTAATGCTGCAGAGCATCAGAGATGGGCAATAATCCCTGTCTGCTTTACCCATGAAGTCCGGGAGTGTACGGTCCAGGACAAATGTATTTATGTAGGAAAAGACCATGAGATATATCTACAATTGGTACTACAGAACACTCCACCTCAATGTTGTGCATAATATGATCCTGGGATGTGTTATATTGGTTCAACTATAATATGTGATATTGATGCATAGATGATGGAGTCAAACAACTAACACTTGGTGACATCTGGAATTATACATCAGATCCATGGTAGGAAGCACTTCAATGTTAGTCATCTAGCATGGTCACAGGACATAAAGTGTGAATTTCATACTAAGTATACCTGGTCAGGCACCACTTGCTACAGAGTGGGATCCAAAACATATGTAGTAAAAGGCCCCTGTAAAGAAATGAAAAACAAATGGAGCAACCAATATATCTGCCCCGATGATGTCTTCTCAGGGAAGATGGAAAAACAGTAGCCAGGGACATGGTAAAGTGACAGATCTGACATGAAGAAACATGAAAAAGATGATACTTCTAGAGGAAAGAAAAATATGCCAGGCAAAAGGACTGGCAAATCCAACCTGTAAGGGGAGTGGAAAAGAAAAAATCAAGGGAAAGGATAAGAACAGGATAAACCTAAAGGTGGGAGAAGAAGGGAATGGAAAGAGGAGTGAAAACATAATTAATCTCCAGAGCATAAAGGAAAGGATAAGATCTAAGGAACAAACATAGAAAAACCTGACCACAAAACACGTTGGAAAAACAGAAACCACAGGCTAACAATATGAGGAACAGGGACAGCAAATAAAATCAAATAACGAATCTGCCAACAAAGGTTAAAATGGAGGATTATAAAAAGCACAAAGGCCAACATGGAGGTTCCAAATCCTAGAGAAAAGCCGAGCAGTGAGTATGAGCAATGAAGAATGACCAAAATAAAATAGCCAGGAAACAAGAAGCAAAAACTGGGAAATCAAAAACTGCTTGAAAGCTCGCAACAGGGGAAACAGATAGATCCCTGGTAGAAGGCCAAGTTAAAAAGGATGGCATGAGGAATGGGAGTAATGAAAGGACAATAACCTAGGTGTATATATCAACAGCGTGATGTATATCAATAACTCTTGAAAAATGTCAAAGAGGAAGGACGAACTAGACGGGAAAACCAAGGAAGCAATATGCCTGGAAAGACCTGACCTTCAGGCAAGGGACGAGATAAAAGCCACGCGTGAAGATGGAATGGATGGATGTCACACATCGGAGTGAGGCTAATGAAAAAGATGAAGGGGAGGCAACACTAAAAACCATTACAGAAATGGAAACCATGTGAGAGTTGGCCAAGACAGTGCCACCAGTCGAACTCAACATGGAGAGATTGGAACTATTGAAAGGACACAAAAAGGAAGACAAATAGGTGGACATGTATAAGAGTGATGATTTGTCCAATTCTGACAGAGAGCATCCAGTACACCTGCTAAGGAATGAGAAACAGGAGAACAAAAATGGGTCAGGTTTGTATCAAGACGAGATGCAAAAATATCCAAATTGGGGATTCCCAAAAGTGCACATTATACCCAAAAAACTAGAGGACCTAAAGACTACCCCCATCAGGAGAATCCTGTCAGGATGGGATAATCGATCAGCAACCAGATTCATGGCCTCTCAATGATGACATACCCACCAACTGATATAATGACAGTGAGCCCAAAATACAGGAGATCCAAAGTTCGAAACCAAGGGACACTTAACTAGATACACCCATGCATGGTGGTGGAGGACCCTACTGTAAAATTGTCATAGTGACACATCACCACCTTGTCCCAAAGAGCCAGTAGGAAGGAAAGTACTGTCCGACAAACAGCAAGAAGTGTCAAGAGAGTGATATGTAGTCAAAAAGAGTTCCCTACCCCCAAATCTCCCAAGTGTCAATAGATGCTCCCCAAACAGGAAAAGAGCATCCAGAAAAAGTTACAATCCAAATGAGGAAAAGAAAAGTAACCCCAGCAGCAAAAAAGATCCTATCCAACCAGTCAATACAGACTGCTAGTGAGGGGAAAGGGTAAGGGGAGCATCCAAGGGATTTCAAGCAAGACAGCACCTGGTGATCCAAGTACCCAAAGAGGACAGTGCATGTTGTCGTGACCAAGAGGAATGAGAGCCGCTAGAAAAGCCCATGTCCCCAATGAGAGAGAACTGCACATGCAATAAGGAAAGGGAGCTGATGAGAAGTTGCCTACAGGATGTACCATAGTTCTAAACCAAAGGGGAGGAGGTTGTTCCCAAGAATTGAAAACTGAGATGAAAAACACATGAAGAAGACTAGAAATTGATCATGTGTGATGAATGAAATCACCACCGTGATGATCCAACCACATAGTTTCTTCTCTGGGACACTGCCTGAGTACGGAGAGTAGATATGGTCAGTGAGGAAGCTGTAAGTATCTCCAGTTGTCCCTGGAAAAGTGTACACTAAGCTTAAAGGAAGCAGATGCGTAAAGGTCTAGACCACTTGGCTGAAAAAAAAGGGAGCCAAGGCAAGGCCGAACAAAAACACCCAAAACTGAAAACACACATACCAGTGAAGAACGAAACAAAGATAAATGTCTGGATGCCAGAAAAATAGGAATATGGAGACACATATCAACACATATACCTACATTCTCCACAAAACAGGAGTGAAAACCCCTAATGAGAATGATCCCTCACAGTAGGGACCCTAAAGAAGTAAGACCCAAACCACTTTTGACTGATGCTGGGAAGAAACAGGATCCCACTGTAGGTGAAATAAAGTGAATGGTAATATAACAAGGGGTATAAGTGCAAATGGAATTGTGGAGACTTGCTGAAACAACCCTGGTCTCCAAATAGGCAGGAAGACCCCCAACACCTCGTGATAAAAAAAAAGTGCCATGCACAATGTACGTAATAAAGAGGAGGGTAAAATAACTCCAAAGAAAACAAAATTCTGACCTAGAAGAAGCCAACTTCATAGTGGCCACGTCAGCAAAGCAAGGCTGAAAAGGAAGTGCATGCCACTGTAGCAAAAAGGAAAAGACTAAGACCAACAGAAAAACAACATAATGAAACCAAACACCACTCCGACCAAAAGGAAATGGGAGGATAAAACGCAGACAATAATGGATAATGGAATAAATGAATGGGAAATTTCCAGCATAGGGAAATGCAACAGAAGCATTAGAGGACAAACCTCACATTGGAAGAAAAAAAAAATCCTAAAAATGTGAGGTAAATTATGGATATGTAGAATGAGAAATGCAAAAACATGAGAGGCCAACATACACAGGGGACAAAGAATACTGATCCCCGAATGCACGTGTACCCCAAAACAAAGAGCATGAACTCCATTATCTGGGTAAGAAGGAAAACCAAAGAAGACCTGAAGATTAATCCTCAAAGAGGACATGGATAAAAATAACATAACTGATAAAGGGTAGTACTAATCAAGAAAAAAAGCTTTTTCTGAGAGGAGGTAAGATATTGTATCGGAAACTTCTTTCATTCATAACACTTTTGCCATGTAGTTTTTACATATCTGAATAAACATTTACATCCACTGACTGCAAAATACGGATTTATCCCACTGCTACCAAAAAAGTTTCCCTATTCTGCGACATGCTGGAACATCCCTCTGTACTTGAAACAATTGCCAAACCTGTGTGCATGCTGCCATCTGTTTCTATACTGTGAAACCTGGATACTTATATTCCTCATTACAAAATTGCAAACTTTGCAGGAACACACATGGGAACTATATAAAGACAGCTTCTTTATATCTTGGATATTGTTATCTAAATAATTTGTTTTTAGATTTTTTAATGATTTTGGCTTCTTATTCACTAAGTTTTGCCGAAATTTATACCATTCACTGGAGAACACTTTTCTTCTCATTTTCTTCAATTTTTTTTGTTTAAATCATTATTTTTCACTATCCAATACAGTTTTCAAGAAATATTACTGTTAGATATAGAAAATACAGCTTCTTTCAATATTGAAAAAGTAATACAAAGGGTCAAATTCATACTTTTATTTTTTGGTGCATATTTGAAACTTTTTGAGAATCAGCCTGAAAATTAATTGCACAATGAAATGGTTAAGCTGGTTGAGGTATGTGATGAAGGATTGGATATTTCGTTGAAGTAGCTTGTGTACTGATGCCTAGAATATATGGATGGCTTTTGCTGTTAACCTGTGTTCTCATCTGTTATAGCTGGGATATGACTTCTTGCAGGCCCTGGTGCCCCAAATTGATTCATATTCCTTTGTTTCCTAGTGTTATTAAATCCAAGGGATATCCCCATCTTGGAAATTCTAAATCCCAAACATTTATGATCTGAGAGTATGAATATTTTGTTAGAAATAACTGTAGTTACTTTCCTTTCCCAAGAGCAATAAATTTTTGGTGTCATCATATAATCTATAAACTGCCAACCAGTGTCAAAATGAAGTTCAGATAAATGTCATTCTACTTTGACTTTATATCAGCTGTGGCTGTCCTGTGACTTGTATATTCAAAATTGTTTTAATATAAAGTACTCAACCCTCTGTATTATAACAAATTTCTGGAGTGATGATACACAATATTCATTGAACATATTATTTCAATTTGCCAATACGAAAAGATAACTTGTACCATGCCAAACATGCTAACTAAGCAAAGATTTACACTGATATTGTTACTGAGACCACTCTCATATTGTTGCATGCATTAACAATGTTGTATATCTCCTGGTTTACCCAAACAGTTGCATTTTCTTATTTTTTAAACATATTTTCTGTTTACTACTTCAATTACACTTAACAAAGAACTTCTCAAAGAACTGGAAACCTTTTTTTTTTTTGTGTTCAATCTGTAAGTTCCCATGTTTAAATTCTATTTAAAACAATAATTGTTCTGAATAATTTTATTTGTCATCAAGGGTGTTGTCATGAGTATCAGTCATCACATGGTATAACAATTATGAGTAAAATCATGAACAAGTTTTCAAAAGAATTTTACTCATTACAGATCTGAAAGAAAAAAAAATAGGTGGAGGTACATAGTTCAAAACCTGCCACTAATCAGTGTTATCAAGTCCGTGTATTTTCTATTTTCCAAGTCACATTTTCTGGTGATTTCACGAAACTGAGATAGATGCAATGGTACAGCTTGTTGTCAATAAAAACATGTAATATGAGAGTGATCGAATTTGATTTTCCAGAACTTCTTTTGACTGTCCAGGATTTCCAGTACTAAAAAAATTGGTTCACAGAATTCCATGATTTTCATGACCCATGGAAGCCCTGAAGCAAAGAGCATCACATGCACAAACAACAGCTTGATAAAACCAAGCACAAGTTACAGAGTCTAAACTATGTAAAGTAGAAAACAATGTTCCTTTTTTGTGTGATATTATAAAAATTACATTAAAACTGTATCAAATGTATGAGGATGTTATAGCTTTAAATTATCTTTCCTTTAATGTTAAAATTACTTAATTCTTTTGGTATTTATAATATACACATAAGTACATACCATAAATCTCAGTTTAGCAGATATATTGTGGTATGACTGTTTTTTTTTAGTAAGTTGTCTCACCTTGTGCTTGAAGTCGAGTTCGCACTAATGCTAATGGGTAGCTGGCTATTTGACCACAAGAACTACTGATGGTTCCACATCCTAACAGAACAAATATTCCTGGATATTCCTCTCGAGGATGATGACTAATATAAATATTCTTTAAGGTCTACAGAATAAAAAAATTGGCCTCAGTTCTCTATATTTCAAATAAAGAAAATCAACTTATATCTGTACTATTTGTTAAGTTTTTTTCTGCAGAAACTAAAAGTTCTTAAACTTTATTCTAATCTTAATTTTATGTCTGCTTAGATTGAAATCTCTCACACTTGGGTTTTCTACCGTCAAAACATTTTAAACAAAACTGACATTTTGCATCCCAGCTTCTGGTATTTTAATGTGATTAATCCAGATGTTAAAATAAAAAGAAAGACTACACATGCACAGAACTAGTATTTTAGATCAAACTTGTTGCAAGTGTCAAATCAGGTAGGTTTTAAAAAACAAACCAATTCACTTTATTCATGATAAACTTACAAACTTTTAGTAGTTTTCACTGTTTTAATGTTACTGTTCTTATGATAAATCATTTCTTTTCAATAAAAAAGACGATATTTTAAAATATGTATCTTAACACCATGCTTTTTTTTTAGATTATTGATTTAGTTTTCTAAGCAATCCGTTAATTTATTAATATTTTTCATTTCTGGAAATTTTTTGAGCATATACTATTTTATTTTTTATGTTAAAACTTTTGTTACATTTATAAAATCTTGTTTGGTAACCAATAAAGGTAGTAACTTTAAATAGAACTATTCCTTAATTAATAGAAATTTACTTCATAAATAGCAAGATCTATCCCAGCATATGGTAGTATACCCAAGAGGTTTGGTAGATAACCACGGTAAAAGCATCCTAAACCTTCTTTGTAGTATAATTTCTTTGCAGCATCCCAAAGTCCATAATACTGGCCAGTTTTTCCTAATGCTAACCTTGTCTTAAGGACCTAAAAATTTTTTTTAAAAATGTGTTTAATCAGATGTTTAATGTCAAAATAAATAGATTATCTACAAAGACTGTGATTCCTTTTTAATCACTGATTATTACAGTGTGTGTATGTGTCTATATATATACACAAGTAATAATCAAAATCACAGTAATATATTATTCTTAAAATATTATAGGAAACCTATTTTATAAAAGTAAGCCTCTTTTCTTCAGTTATTTCTCATTGTTTGGTAACTAAGAAAATAATGATAAAATTTTAGCTAGTTTTATCTTGTTTGAAAAGAAAATCATACACTTTAATCAAAACATAGCTTGAGAATTATACCACAACAGCAAGGATATTTGTCAAAATTGTATCAATATTTATACTTTCAAAAGAACAAAAATAAAGTAGTATTATTTGCCACAAAAACCTGAGCTAAATGTTTCGGAAAAATCACACTAACTTTTAACAGTAATAAATCTACATTTACAACTTTATTCAAACACATTAACTTCAAAAATATTAACACAAATATCAAAAAATTTCAAGAACAGCTAGTATTAAGGATCTGAAATTATATAAGTAATTGAAGGAACTATTTTTAATCTTAAGGTACTTAAACCTATTTCAAAAACTATAACAACATTTGACAATAAAGTGTGTTTTTGTTGGATTTCTCATAAAGTTACACAAGAGCTATGTGCACTAGTCGTCCCTAATTTTGAAGTGATAGATCAGAAGGAAAGCAGCTAATCAACCCCACTAACTCTTGGGCTACTTCAGACATACCAAATTGTAGGATTTTACTGTCACTCTCATAACACACTTATGACCCCAAAGTGAGTAAGTACTATTTTTAGCAGTAATGGGATGTGAGCCATGAAACCTCAGCTCCATAGTATGCCACGTTAACCACTGAGCCATACTTGGCCCATTGATGATAAAGAATGGTAAACTTTACAATGACTTTTATTAGAATTTATAAAATTACATATTTTTTGACCCAAGATATACACGTATATAAAAACAGAGATTAAAACAACTAAAAGTGTGATAATAAAGTAGCCTTAAAAACATAATTTGTTGGTTTCTGCAAGTATAATTTGAAAAGCACTGTATGATACAGACATCAAAAAAAAAAAAAATAAATGTGTAGAAAAATATTCCTTGTCCTAAATAGATTTTAATATGAAATAAAACATGTATAACAAGTTTAATTAATTGTTTCAAAACTTACAGGTATAAGTAATAAGAAAAAAAAAAGCAGCATTTAACTAAAACATTAATGAAAGAAAACTATATATATAATTTCCAAAACATTCCATATGTGACACATTAAAGTTAAGTTCATAAAGTTTTTTAATTCAGTTTTTGTTCACTTTATTTCCTTTCCATTTCTTGTTTTAAGTTATCACTTGCATAGCTCTATTTAGTTGTACAGATTATGATAATTTTTTAAACCAACTTTAAATATTAAGAGTAGTTATGATGTATATCTAGTTACACCATTTCTATCTCATCAAACTGGTGACTATAATTTTACTGGGTGAATGTTTACCTCCATAGGATAAATGAGAGTTTGAGAAATACCTCCTGCCATGGATCCAGCTAAAAATCGTTCATACACACCCAATTCTCTCTCATTATTACCTCGGATTATGCGTTTAGCCTAAAAAGAAAAGAAAAACTTGCAAAAAGTTTTGTCTTAAACATTTTAATTTCATGTTTCTGTATTTTTTTTATATAACTTGTTCTAACAATTCTAATTTGGAATTTTTAATACTCAATTTAAAGTTTTGAGCCACAAATAACACATACTTCCTGATATTCTGCAGCACTATCAAATATCTTTACCTTACCTGTTCATAGGCCATAAACTTAAGTGCACTTTCAGGAGCAATCTTCAAGACATTGATACCATTTCCTCGCCATAATGACCTAATTCCTCCTTCGCGAAGCATGTGCATAAAACAGGCTTGTACAGAAGTGAACTCTCCACCCCTCACCTTCAAATAAGGAAGTAGTTTAAAACACTTATGCTGAAGAATAGTAAAGATTATCTTAATATTTCAGTAGAAAATGAAAGTTATAATTTTCCTATACTGAAAATGTATTTCCAATAGGTACTTACCTCCTCTCACATAAATAGCTATTCTTGTTCAGTGCTGCCCTCTATATGCAAAAATATATCAGTTACGCATGGCACAAGCCTTTTATTTCCCCTCCATTAGAATTGACCGATTCTAATGAAAATGTCGAAAGAATACTCCCTACGAGGAGACAATCAGATTCTAAGATCTAATGTGGGGACCACACCACTTTTTGAACCAGGTATACTCTTCGCCCATCATAGAAAGATGTCACACATATGGGCAGAAAATGGAGGAACATATCCAACTGGGAGAGAACTAAGGTCGGATAGTGATCCGAACCATACAATATTTATGCAACAATATTTATCCAAAGAAAGAGGAAAGCACAGCCTGAGAGTATGTAAGTAAATGCTCTGACCATCTGACAAATATACAGGGCAGAAGCAAGTCCCAAGGTCAGAGTGCAAAACAGATAAAGCTCCTCGTGGAGAACAAACTGAATAGAGGGTTGCAAGTAATGAGATATCGAGATGTGCAAATAAACATTTGTGACATTCCTTGTGACCATCTATAAAGCTGGAGAAAAAGCCCATCTAAGGGTGAGAAACAACTCCAAGGTAAAACTGGGCAGATTGAAAATTATATTGAGGTGAGACAAACCCAGTACAGGCTGACAGTTTCCAGTTTATTGTGAGGATAACTAACAGCCTGGAATAAAAGCCTGGAGAAAAATGATGAACAGATGCAATAGGCTGTTGAGACAGAAAATCTTGTACTGCCTCAGACAGATGCTGACTGGTGGCAGGATCCCAAGCCATGAGGAAGAAAAAAGGATACCTGAGACAAAGGAGGTGGGGAAAGAAATAGTAGGACAAGTCCCTCTGATAAAAACCTGAAAAACCTATTGATCTGTAGTGAAAGATGCCAAAGGGTAACAAAATCATATAGTCAAGCCCCCACAGGTTAGTCTCCGGTAATGTTGGTGATATGCCCATCAATGTTGAATAAAACGAGATCAGAAACTTATGGGAGGAGGAACAGGGAAAGGTAGATAAGGACCAAGATGGGAAAGGAACAGGGGCTTGTTGTAGCTCCAACTGCAACAAATGTGCAATCAAAGAGGAAAAAGGTAGTGTTGATGCACAGATTACACACAATTCTAAAGTCCCAGATACATGATTGAAAACATATCGCCAAAGAAAAAAAGAGCCATACGTAAATCTCTAAAAGAAAGAGGTGGCAAATGAACCCAGGACAGGGTCACATCATGACAAAGAAGATCCTAACAACAGTGAAACCACATGTGTAAAGTGAGAGCCAAAGAGAACAAACGAGCCAACATGGAAGTTATAAGGAATCACAGAAAAACGAGGAATTGGATAAATCATGTTGAAAAATGCCGTATTAGGCGTAGCTGATTCTACAGGAGGGGTAGGGAAAGACACGGCAAAATCCGATGTTGGAAAAAGGCTATCAAATCTTCATCGGCCCGAACAGGTTTGGCTTGTTCAGGAGGATTAGTGGGGCAAGTTCAGGAGAAGGAAGTTGACCCATATAATGATCAATCTCATGGAGAAAATTAGCAGAGAAATCCAATGACAGGTCTCCTCCACGTGCAGCTTGTGAATATGAACCTAGAATTCATTATAAATACATAAATCAAATAAAAGGGTTTAATGTAAAATATGCATGTGAGAAAAAAAAGGAAGACTGGGAAATTAAGTTAAATTAAAAGATTTTTTCAATGTAGGGAAAATAAAAGTAACGAAAAAATCCCACTTCGGAAATTAAACTATTAAACAATTCACATGAAGAGCACCAAAAGAAAAAACGTCTGAACACAAGTACTGCCAAACAAGAAGTGATAGTTCGATAGAATTGAATAGAGGGAATCACATGCGTCATGAGTCTGTCACGCACTTACTGGTGGAATGTTAACACATGATGATGATTTGTATGAGACACACATTGGAATCAGTCAATTCCAATGGAGGGGAGATAAAAGGCTTGTGGCATGCATAAAAATTGTTTTTGCATATAGAGGGCAGCACTGAACGTGAACAGCTATTTATGTGAGCAGAGGTAATGTACTTTATCGGAATCACAATTATACGCGTTTTCAACATTCTATTATATATTTTTAAGACCCAGTAAATGTTTGTTATGAAGCCCACAATTTTGGCATACAGAAAAAAAAAAAGGTGACAAAAATGTATGCAATTCATTTTTATATTCAAGATTCTAAGACAAAGTTAATTCATCATCAGAATTAATAAGGAATTTAAATTACAGTAAAATAAAAATGATATATTATTATACTTTTTTCCACACCACTTACTGTTAATTGCTAACAACTCACAGTAAAACAAGTTATCATTTTTTAAAAAAATATTAATTACAGAATAACAATTTTTCAACTAACACACCTGCAAGAACACCTTTAACCTGTCTAAAGGAGCTGTACTAGTTCTTGAAACAGCACCAGCTAAACCACCAGCTACCAGATGTCGCCACCACATTCCTGTGCGCATTTCTTGCTCAGTGAAATCATCAGGTACAAGTGTATCTTCTCCAATGTCTAAAAACTAAAGCAATAAAAATATTTTTATCCTGAAATGCTACTTAAACAACTATTATTAAACTACTAGAATTTCAGTTCTGTTTTAAACCAGACAAGAGTATTTTTCCTAATAGTTTTATGCTTTAAGTAGGCCTAATGTTACATTTACATTTAACAATGCATAATCATATATTTCATCATATAATGCAAACAGTTATACTAGAACTGGATGATTTAATTGATTAATTGATATTATCAATTGCCTATGAACAGTGATTACTTCAATTAGTGTCACATAATTTAAATGATTAATTTTAATTACAATTACTTCAATTAATCAACTAATTGAAATTAGGGTTTCTGATTACTACTACTTCAGATAATTCCAACTATTCAAGTAACTGAAATATAACAACCAAACTTCATTATAGAAAGTTATTATGGCTATCTGTCACTGTCACCAATTTTGAACTGCTGAATAGAAAGAAAGAAACTGCCTGGCAACATCTGCCACTGACTTTTTTGTTGTTGTTACTGTTAGTATTGTTCAACTGCTGACTGGAGAAAGGCAAGTGGCTGGCTGCTCCTGCCACCAATTTTTTATTTATTTTATTTGCTTGTGGATAGCATGCTTTGAGGAACACTGTACCAATAAATATATTAATGAGGCTATTGATTAATCAATTAGCAAATACCACTAATTACCCAACTCTACAGTAGACCATATGGAGTTTGTAACCTTCACACGTTATACAGCATCTGCATTTCCTAATAATTCTAATTGCAAAAAACCACAGTCTCAAAGTTTCCATACTAATTATACATGATGTGTATTTGAAAACAAGTTAATTATAGGAATTGTGCACAAGTTGTTTAAATCGTACATACTCTTTCCTTATTAATGAGGGAAAAAGACACACTATGTCTCAAGCTTTTTAAACTAATAGTTTGGTACATAATAAACCTATTTATTTTAATTAAAAATAAAATAAATGTTTTAAAGACTATAATCAAAATTATAATTATTTTTCAAAACATTTTTATGGATTCAAACTCAAAACTGATAGTTTTAGCAGGAATAATGATTATTTACTACACAAATTACCTTGATATATGCTTCTCGTGCCATGCCACAATAAAAATTTTATTTATGATTTTCCCTAAAACATATTTTAAAGAAATATCAATTCTTTAGAATGCTAAATAGTTGTCTTTGTTTTATTGAAAAAAGAAGTTACTAAAATTAATTTGTGTATAAAATATGCATTTGATTTGCTATGGATCAGAAATACAAAGATTAGTATTGATCTTGGATAGTGTAGAATCTTAATTTTTATATTGTTTACTCAAAAGCTGTTCAACACATGTCATATCAAAGTGCAAAAAAATTCTAACTAAATACTTACTCCCCCCCCCCCAAAAAAAAGAGAGTTAAATTTCAATTTTCATGCACCCACTAACTCGATAGCTGTCAGGCTGCTAAGCTAGGAAGTGGTCTTACACTGATAAATTGAAGTTTTAACAGCAGAACCTTATTTCAATAAAAAATACTCAGGGTTATATTCTAATATAAATGATGTTAGAGTTCTTAAACAAGTCATAAAATAAGCATTTTCTATTCAAAAGCACAACAAATATATATTAATTTTTGCAGTCTACACTGGTAATTTTTTATAATTAAACAACTTATAATTCATTTTGCATGCTATTAACTTTTCCTAACTTACAGTGGCATGTCTCCAATACTTAAAGATGTCGGCAAGTTCAGAAGATGGATGGAAAAGAAGGTAATCTCTCCATTCATCAAAAGTGATTGTCAAGGAGCCATCTTTATCCATTCTAAAATAAGAATTACATAAATTACTAAATATGTATTTATATTATGTAATCATAAAAAAAGTATTTTTCATCTTTACTTTTTAAGATTCAAGAAAATAATTTTTTTTATCTTATGTTCTCTTGTAATATACATGGATATATACATACATATTTTTAATTGAGAAATTTAAAAAATACTTGTTTATCAAAAACATCATAGCAACAATTTTTTTACTGTATCATTACATTTTCTAGATTAATTTACTTCACATTTTGTTTCAGAACTACAAAATACACTTAAAGCTAAGAGTACATGTTAATAAACATGTTAGTATAAACGATACTTGAAACCATCAGTACTTGGTGAAACTCCATAATTACAGAATTGAGGAAAAAAAGAAAAATGTATGTTTCACAAATACATAATTTATTCCCAACTACTTACCTCTGAAGAAGTTTAAAAGCATCATCATAGCTCATATAAATTCCCAGTTTCTTGAAGGCATTTACAATTTCAGATGTATCAATACTTCCTGATGAAGTAATCAAATAACAATATTTATTACACCATTAGACTGTACTGTATATGTAATGTGATAAAAACACTTGTATAAAAAAACTGTATATGTAATGTGATAAACACACTTGTATAAAAAAACTGTATATGTAATGTGATAAAAACACTTGTATAAAAAAACTTGTGTTTTGTAGGTACCTAAAAATCATAATGCTAAACTTTCTTTAACCATAATTATGTATTTTGTGTTAATGGTTTAATAGCGGCTACACTTTCCATACTTCAATAAGAATAGAAAAGTTACAAAATTATGAATTGGTTTTCGATTATTTACTGACTTACAGTACAATAAATCCTTTATTCTACACAAAGAATAATCAAAATGTTAATACCAGGAATCTTGAAAACAAAGAGTATTTATTTGAATATTCACAAGTAAAACAGAATATACTCAATTCAAAAATGCTATGCCAAGACTTTTAAAACAACATACCTAAACCTCAGAAAAAAGCTTCTAATCCAAAAATATAACCTTGACACAACTTAACAAATAACTTTGACACAAGTAGTTCCAAAAAAAAGAACCACAAAGAAAACCTTAATTTAAAAATGACTAAAAATCTGTTTGCTAATACAATATTTAAAAACTCTATTTAATTAGAACTCACAACATTTTAATTGAGTTTCAAGCATTATCCAATTTTTTCTCTACGTTCTTGAACATCTGGCATATCAGTCTTCAGTTCTATCTTCTTCTAAACTCTTATTTGCTACCAGACTATGAAATTACAATTCATTATTGGCCTTTATTGGCTCTTGACTAAACATCTGATTACCTTATTCATATAGAAAGACACACTAATTTACCTCAATGCTATCCATGTCAGACATTTTGTCTTACTGTGAAAACAGTATTACTTTATTAATTCTAAGGAGGTGTGAGCTATCATTGAGCACATAAAATCTCAAGAGAAGGCTAAAATAAGTCCCAGAGGACAAATGTATGTAAGTATGAACATAATAATAATTAAAAAAGAATTAAAGAATACCACTTCACTACTAAATTTTAAATAAACAGTACACACAACTAAATTTGTAAATTTACTTTACTGGGCACATTACAGAGATGGGATCAACCTAACTTACAGAAATTGCAAAATATTTGAATATACCACAATTAATTTAAGTTACTTTAAGATTTTTAGAACAGTTTTCAAAATATCTTACAGTTAAAATTCTTGTAAAAACTTTTTATGTAAAGCTAACAACAATAACGTTAGCTTCATTACAACTTAACATGTGAAACAACTATTTAACCTTAAATTTTAGGTACTAGTAGTGTATACTTTGAATTCTTATTATATTGTATACCATTTTGGAGTATGGTTAGTTTTGGATGAATAAAATCATTTACTGTGTAATTAGACTTCCAGAAAGCTTTTGATAAGATTCCTCAAAATTGGTTAATTAGAAGTTAAATGGACTGAAAATTAGCTTGAAGGTCGAAAACAGAGATTGTCAGAATGTGACTAGTGAGTTCTTCAAGAACCTGTTTTGGGACTTTTGTTCAATTTTATTTGTATAATTGATATAGACTACTAGGCGAGTAGAAATATTTCCAAGTTAGTTCATGACACTAAATTTCTGGGAAAATGCTTCCTTAATGCATGACCTGCAGGGTACCAATCTATGTAAAATATGTTTCAACACTGATAAATGTAAAGTGATGTTATCAATTCATACCATATAAATCTGATTTGTAAGTGATTTAAATAAAACTGATAATAATTACAATTCATTTGCTTAATCTGATTCACCCCATAAAAGTTGTTGTTCATGAAAACTGATGATATAAATAACATCTATACCACTATTACGTCTGCCGTACTCCAGCTGGCCTGATAAGCCCTGGTATTTGCGGAAAGGCCTTTTTGTCACTGGATATGGTAAATGTAGTGTGGTTAAGATATTATATTCTCCTTTGCTTTCACTCATTGGTTCTTAGAATTATCTCTTGTTCAGCTTTTTGCTCACCTATACATGTTTTTTATTCCTGTTGGTTATTGTGGTATTTTAATCTTTAATCCCTTCCTCCTTTTTTTAGCTTATTGTTGAATTTACAGAACAAAATACAGTGAACAAATTTAACAGTCATCTGAAATGACAAGAAATTCTGTCGGACAACCAAGTGCTGTAAAATTTAGTGACTGAGGTTGTCCGAAGGACAACCATGTTATTTCAGACTTCAATGCTATACATACTGCCTTGTGCAAGCATTTCAGTATTGAACCAGGAAGTTGCAATGGAATGCAAGCAATGTGAGACCATTATCAATGAAGTAATAATTCCTATGTTACTTCATGTCTGTATTTAACAACTCTGCTGGCTCATTTCAACTTCCCAGCATACACAAAAAATGGTTTTCATTCCTGTGGTGTGTACTGCACACCATGAGTTCAGACTGGCACAGAAACTTCCAGAAACACTCTACCTCTAGCTACACACTGTACTACAAGGCTCAATTAACAGCCTGCCTTCCAAAGTACTTGTAATAGTGTGTGGAAATCCTCCAAACATGTGCACACCACAGAAGAAATCTCCACATCAGTAGCATCCATATTCAAAATGCAATGTGCCATGTGTAATAGTTCAACCAATCACAGTTGACAATTGCTCCACTTACTGTGTAATAAGTTTCATTGGGCAGAAGTTGATGGTTCACATTAGAGGGGTGAAAAAATTATCAACGTCTTTCAGTTGAAATACATTGATATGGCTGTTGGGAAGAAATGTCTCTGGTAACAAATATGTGGAGTTTTTGAGTGCACAGAGAGTTGAGTTTGTTTTGGCATGAAATAATTGCTACTGTGGCAAATCTGTTCGTGTTATGGTAGCAACTAACGAAAGCTTGTGTTAATCCCTGTCTTATAAGAATTGTATGATGGGAATGGAAGTAACATGCATGAAAATATAAATGAGCAAAACAACAGTTTTTTGCAGGCTTTTTCTGATGAAGCGTCGTTCTCAATGTAGAGTGGGTATAATGTAGCCATGTTAGTGTGTTGTAGTAGGGAAGTAAATTCTCCAAACACTCATTACACAACATTCAGCAAAGTATTGCATTATTTTTTCTGTAATATTTTTAAGGGGTTCCTGTAGTGATCCCATTACTGTATCCCACCATTTTACCTGAACTGGTCTTTTTATAGTAATTGTTCAAATTGTCAAAACAAAATAAAACATTTGTATCAATGTTTTTTTTCAGAATGTTGATGAGTGTTTTATGGTATTTCCAAGGGTGTAGGCCCAACTTGTTTGATGAGGAGTGAGTGGATAATCAACATTGTGGAAATGATGTTACAGTGTGACCTTAATAAAGTAATTGAAGTTGATCAGACATTTGATACAACATTGTTAATCATGTGTGTGCGTGTGCATGTATCCTGACATTATTGTGAGAAATTTTTTTTTCTTTACTTATGGAAGGCAATTTTTTTCATGCAGGACAACCAAAGTCTGGTTAATGGTTGTCCAAACAACCATTCAAAAAATATTAAATTTGTTCACTGAAAATAGCTAACTTACCATCACTGTTTTCATCAAGGCTTTTGAAAACCAACAATAGTTGCTTCTCATGCTCCATCACATAATGTGCAAATTCAGCAAAATCCACATTACCACTCTTGGCCAGATCCGATTTCTCAATGAATTTCTATAATATATATATATATATGTGTATGTATATTTTAAAACAATGCTACAAAGTCTCATTAAAATTATATCAATAAAATGAACTGACATTTAATACAATATTAAGTAGGAAAAATATTTTATTTGTTTGTTTTGAATTTTGTGCAAAGCTACACGAGGGCTATCTGTGTTAGCCATCCCTAATTTAGCAGTGTAAGACTAGAGGGAAGGCCAACTCTTGGGCTACTCTTTTACCAATGAATAGTGGGACTGACCATCACATTATAACACCCCCACAGCTGAAAGGGCGAGTATGTTTGGTGGGACGGGGATTCGAACCCACGACCCTCAGATTGTGAGTCGAGTGCCCTAATCACTTGGCCATGGCAGGCCAGGGAAAAAATACTGCAAAACTGCACAATGGATGCTTTTAATTCAACATCAGTGATAATTAATAGTATCAGTATTAAGTTATAGGGGATTTTAGTGTTATATTAATATGTACTCTAAAATAGCTTAATTTTAGTTAAATATACAATTATTGGATGTGTAGATTATGATTCAGGATATGACAAATACAGTATGATTGGAATACTATTAATATACACTCTTCTAATTCTTGAAAATCCCTAAAGAAATAGATTAAGAGTGGAATGTTTAAAAATGTAATAGGCCTAACACTAATGTCTTATGACAAGTATAAAAGTAAAGATTATTAAACTTCAATATGATTAGAGGTAGTTTAGGAATAGTAGGGTGAAGTTTATAGGGTGTGATAGGTGCCACGATTGGGTTATGTCTGAAAATTGTGGGCTTCATTACAACTTTCACAAGACTCAAACAGATACAGTGCACTACACTTGCACAGTTTGCTTACTTGGTGATAAGTTACACATATTTTTAGGGAAGATTGTTGTATTACAGTGGGGAAAATAGCAGATCAGGCAGAAAAATCAAGAAAACAAGACAGGTAAAAGTTTCTTTGGGGAAATGTAAGAATGAGGGTGCAGAATTAACAAGAGTGCACAATATTAAAAATATTAAGGCTACAGAGATAGTATCAATTACCATTCAGATACCAGTCTGTAATAAGTTTGAACTTTGCTCACAATGAGAAACAAGATGATCAAGAGGTTTACATAGTGGCAAACTCTCTCACTAAGTGTACTGATGAAGTTATTTGTAGAAAAGAGCATAGAAAGACTAGGATGATAATTTGCTTGTCATCTACTCCGGGACATTATAGAGTATTTTCATTTATTAAATGAGTTTTCATTGGCTGTAGTGAAGGTCAGCACTTTACATGAGATTATGACAGAAATCAATAATTTCCTGAAACATAAATGGTTGGTGTACATTTTTACTGATTCCAAAGAATAATGTGCAAGAACAGTCTTGAAGGACCAAGTTGCCCAATATTGTCTGTATGTTATTTTCTTCAGCATATACGGTCTAAATAGAACAAGTAGAGTAACTTTTGTTTCTTTTACTCTTATGTCAATTTTTTATTGATCATCTTACCTGGTCTATCATAACTAAACACTAAAATGTTTTGAATATTTATCAAAGCTCTATGTGACAGAATACCTACAAAACAAAGTTACTAGTTTTATCTCTTTAATTCTTCAAGAAAAATTTTTAAAAACAAAAAGGATAAAGATACTGACATGCAACTTTTATAATTAGAGGTTCATAATTATGTCGATGAACAAGCCTGACTATATATTTTTAAACTCTTGAGTTGTGTTTGTTCCATTCAGGAATGCCTTGAGCTTTAGTTGAAGGCGCTATTAATAGTGTTGAAATTTGCAGTATTGTTCTTAACACCAGAAATAAGTATTTTTAACTTTTCATTATCCAAATTCTTAATTACCAAAGTTAAAACACAAAAACGTTTTATATTACAACAGAAGCTTGATTTTAAGCATTAACTTTGGTAAAAATTCTCTCTACACATTTGCTGTTATATTTTCATTGAAATTATTGTTTGATATTTAGTAAATGTATCTAATAACTAGGTAAATTTATATAAAAACAATACAAATGTTATTAAGAGAAAAATGCATGAATTATGAACTTATAGTGTTCAGACTGTTAGTGTGACACTAACAATAATTAAATGAGTTACTGTATAACCCAAGTTATAAATGTAAATTTCTTATCTTACCATACAAGATCAAATATTTGGCCACTAGGATGTACTCTTTCAGAACTAAAAACCATCTCCAGCAATAATGATACTGTAAGTATTCACCTTACCTTTCAAGGTTTTAATTAGTTATCCCTGGTTATGCACTTGTTATGATCAGAATGACTTTATAACACCCCTCATTAAAAAGTTTGAATTTATCATCCATGTTTTTTCATTATTTTTTAACAAAAATCTTAAAATTAAACAAAACACTGAATTTTGGAAAATTACATAGTAAAATATATTTCAAACTGAAATAAAACCAAAATGTACAAACATGTTTATTGCACATGCAGTTTCTTTAAAATACAAAAATGTAACTTTTTATTAGCATAAAGTAACATAAACAATACCCTAAAAACTGGCTTTCAAAAATCATTTTGATGCTACAGCATTAGATGGAAATTATAATTAAAAAATGTTGCAGTTGGAAAAGGTGTTTTGCTAAATTTTAACAACACACAGAAATTAGCATGCATTCATAAGAGTTGGTCTTAGTGTTACACTTATATATATATAATTTTTTTTGTATATTTATTTTTCTCTTCTTCTTTATAAAGAATAGAGTTGTGGTATTTTAAGCCAAGGAACAAGATTAAGGAATTTCAAATTCATATTGGAAAAGTTGTTTAAAAACTTCCTTGGAAACAACAATTTCTATATTTGCACCTTCAAAGCTTAAGATTTTTTTTTTTTACCAATCAAATGACCGTACCCCAGATATAGTTACGTAGAGCAGACCTAATAATAAAAAAAAATGGCTCGGCCAAGCGCAACCCTGATGATCAGACATTCATTTTCACAAATTATATTACTACATGAATTATAACATATGTTATATGTAAAAAGTTTAGAAACTATATAAAAATCGCAAAACATATGACATCCACATAAGATCACCTCCACACTATCAGGTGCATAAGGAAGGCCCATTTGCTGCAGAGCCTCACTAAGGTCTTCGAAGTTGATACGCCCGTCTCCATCAACGTCTAATTGTTTAAATAACTTCTCCAATCTCTCTTCACGTTCACTTGGTAGCTCTTGAAAATAATGTGGCAGATGGTGAGAGTTCGGCACGTTCATCCCAAAAGTTTATTATGCGATAATATACGGTTTTAAATTATCTTGTTAACATTGCCGAACTTCACTTGTTCGTGGCTTAAAAATTCGCCACTTTTATACTTAGGCATGAAAAACAAATATTACAGTAATGCTAGTAACACCGTTGTAGCTGCGCAGGGCGCCATCTAAAACGACTAACATATATATATATATATGTGTGTGTTAAATACGCTCTAGCCCTACATATAATAAGATAGATTACTTTGAAGTACAGTTAGCACATTTAATAAATACTACATATCCATTTGGATATGATTTTTGTATAAGTGTGGTGTATAAAAATTTCAGCGCTTCTACCTTCCTACTTTGATATAGTATTATTCTGAATTTATCATTTATTCTGTATTTGTGAAGGTTGCGCATAACACGTGATCAGGAAAGTACCTGAGTTGATGTCGTTCTAGCTGTCTATTTCCCTTGTCTAGAAAGTTTTTAAGTTAATGCCATTCTAGACTTTTAAAGCTGCACAGGGTACAAGAAGGTCAACAGCAGCTAGTGTCCATCAATAGTAGTTCAGGTGATATCTCAAGTTTACAGCCGCCAAATGCTTTAATAAGAATAGCAGTTATGTGACATGGCTAGTCGCCCTAGCTAAATCTTGTTACCTGCGAAGTAAGGAACAATGAGTTTAAAACAGTCTGGTAGATTTTTTTGGCCAGTTCAGTTGAAAATATAACATTTAGTAGAAGCTACTGTCCCCTGTTTAATAATACTAACTACACGCTTTGTTTATGAGTTAAATAAGGATTGTTCATTTTATACATTACCTTGTGTCTAGTGTTTGTCTTTCTCAGACTCAATTATTCAGAAATTAAGTACTAATTAATGATAAATATCTTATCAAAACTCTTGTTAAGCGGACCTATCCCATTGCTCTAAAGTTAATTCAGTTCGACGTAATTATACTATGTATATTTAGGCAATGAGGTTTTTAGACATACATATTGTTTGCGTATCTGCTTGTTTGTTAATTTTCGGTATAAATTCTTTCCGAGGAACTTCAGCAATACAGGTCCTTTTTTACTTAATGCTATTTTATTATTTCTCGATACAACTTTGTAATACACAGAATTTCCATAGTTACTTTAAAGCTAACAACCTTTATAATACACGCTATAAATCACAGTGATTCACACACTTTACTTACGGTGCCTACTGTTCGCTTGACTCAATTATCTCTATCTTCAATCTATCTGCATATCTATCAATCGCTAGCTTTATTGGCCGGGCTTATATACTAAAAACAGGGCGCCTGGCAAACACTCGGACATTCGCGCGGTTCCTCGATAAGTCATGATCCTTCTAGAAACTCCAGCTCGCATGCTCCCAGCGTCGCGTGACTTCCGCTGTCGTAAAACTGCCCCTTTCTTAGTATTGTTCGTCCCAAACAATAGCCACTTACATTAAACCAATAGATAATTAACAATAACTTGATTAAATGTACAGAATTTACAAACATAGAATTAAAATACAACAAAATCTCTTAATTTTACAGGACGTATCTTCTTCCG